AATAAAGTGTGGCGATCGACGAACCTTGGTAATAATAAAGTGTGGCGATCGACGAACCTTGATCAAAGAAAAGTGTGGCGATTGACGAACCTTGAAAAGAGTAAAGTGTGGCGACCGACGAGCCTTGAAAAGAGTAAAGTGCGGCGATCGACAAACCTTGGAAAGAGTGTGGCGATCGACTAGCCTTGGACAGATCAAGGTGTGGCGATTGACAAACTTTGGAAAGAGTAAAGTGTGGCGATCAACGAGCCTTGGAAAGAGTAAAGTGTGGCGACCGACGAGCCTTGGAAAGAGTAAAGTGCGGCGATCGACAAACCTTGGAAAGAGTAAAGTGTGGCGATCGACGAACCTTGGTCAAAGTAAAGTGTGGCGATCGAAAAACCTTGGACAGATCAAGGTGTGGCAATCGACGAACCTTGGTCAAAGTAAAGTGTGGCGATCGACAAACCTTGGACAGATCAAGGTGTGGCAATCGACGAACCTTGGTCAAAGTAAAGTGTGGCGATCGACGAACGTTGGTAAGAATAAAGTGTGGCAATCGACAAACCTTGTACAGATCAAAGTGTGGCAATCGACGAACCTTTGATGGATACTTGCAAGAACATTGTTCTATAACGACAAAGGTAAGGACCATTATTTTCTGTAACCCAAGAAATTTGGTTCTATTTGAGTGAAAAAGTATTATTTTAGACCATCTGAAATTGCATGAAACGGTCCATTTTTTTAGACTTTTTTGGAAAGTCTACTTTTTTTTTGGAATGGGTTATGTATATTACTGACAGTATCTACATGTACATGTCATCATCCAGCACGTTTCTACAAATCAGGAAACTAACATTTTCCCTATCCGGAATAGACCCTGAAAGTAACCCCGGAGTTAAATCGGTCAGTTTCTACAGAAATGTTTAAAAGCATGCTTTATCTGGTATACTGGATGTCTGGTATAAAGTGGGCAATGCATGCAATAATTCATTGTGTCACGTGAGACGTGACTTCACATGCTAACGCTTAAGTCTGGAAATATTACTTCAGATCTGATAAGACATCAGGGCTAATGAGCAAACACATATCCTTAATGCAATTTGGTACCACCCTACCCAAATGTCCAAATCTTAATTGGGGTCAACACAAGGGCCAGGATTTGTAAAATGGGGACACATTTCCCCAAAGTACTGAAAATAAGTGAAGCCTTTATGCCAAATGAATGTTAAAAAGGGTGAGCATTGCCAGTTGTACCCCGTCGCTTATATTTGGAAGTAGGGGCCAGGTATCCCCCTCCCCCCCCCCCCCCCATGAGGAAGAGAGGTTCTAACCAGGTGTGACTGTACTTCATGTACATGTAGACATACTAAGGGTGACTTGATCAAAGTCTATACCATCTTGACAAATGAATGAGCATCTTTAGTACTAAATTATTTTTTTTAAATATGAAAAGCAAATACAAACAAACACAATAAAGAGGAATTTAACTTAAGATGTGTGTACACCCTGTATGTTGACAGATTAAGGCTTTTATCTGGCTTCTAAACTCCTAGCATTTCTGAACCAACACAAAGCAGACCATGAACAAAGTGACGTCAATTAAACTAGCAGGTTACAAGGTTACAACCTTTGTTAGTTTCTCTCGCTAATCAAAGGTCCATTGAGAGTAATCTCTATCAAGGATTTCATTCTCATTACCAACTTCCAAATAAAGAATCTAGCTACCTGCTATTTACTTACTAGTGGCAATGACTATCAAATACTCAACTTCCAAAAGACTGTTTTTCTTTTCCTGCAAGTCTTGTGATATAAAACTTGTGAAGAATATGTACATTTTTAGCACATGTCGAGAACTTTAACTGTTCAATTTGCTACATTGCAAAAGTACATTTGATGACATGTTAAAGACATCCTCATTTCAAACTTCCACAAAATAGAACAAAATCAAGCTACCCAACTATTTCCCAATGATTCCTGCAAAACATTTTCTTCTTTCAAAGCAGTGAAAGTCTGATAGAGATAAAGAAAAGTTCTTTTGCTCCAGCAAATTTTGAAGCATTTCATTGCTTCATGTGTGAAGGAAGGAAGGCAGTCTTTGATATCATCAGGGTCTAGCAACCTCGTTCATCAATTTTTTTTTCTCTCTATGGGAAATGCCTCAAGAGGATAGCAAGATTCTTTCGAAGATCGTGATTGGCTACCAAGTCAAAAAATTGTTAATTTTAATATACAAAATGTTCAGAAATATTCTCAATTTAATCGTAAAACCAAGCAATTTAAGAATAGCCCTATTCTCTGTTTTGATCGCATGTTAAATGATTATTACTCATAAAAATAAAGTAACTTTCATGAATGTTGTATATTTGTTATGATGTTTAATAATAATGCCTATTATAAATATGAATGTATCTAGTATATTTATCCTTTTATATAATGCTGTATTTTTACCTTTTAAATGACCATGCAATTCAGCTTCGGCTACAAGAACGTCATTTTGAATAAAACCTTATTGAATAGAATTGAATAGAATTGAATAGACCAAATGAAAGCTAAATCAATTTCATCAACACAACATGTACCAAACCATCAATGGCTGAAACAAGCCTTTTCATATTAAAGCATCTTCCTCATCAGAACCAAACTTTCTCTTTCACATAGACTTTACATGTATTGCATAAACTGGATGACATTACTTAAGTCAATGCACATGACTGTCATGTTAAAATGTGTTGCATCATAAAACTTTCACCTATACCTATCCCTTCAATCAATTAAAAAAGAAAGTAAAAAGATAATGTATGACACATGATGATGAGAAACATGTACATAGAGCACTCAATCAGCTCATCAGTCTTGTTTTGTTCAAAGTCCACACAATCTTTGACTCAAGAGTATGCTTGATTGACAGAATTAAATTTATCGGTATGTATCACAATCAAACCCTAAATTCACAACCAAAGGGTATAACAACATGTGTGTACATGTATGTTATACCCTTTTACACACTATATTCACATTCTACATCTGCATCTGCATGTACCATGTACAAATGATTATAAGACACACTCTATTGTATAGATGTAACATATCAACTTTAATAGCATTTCTAGATAAATTACAGTACAGGTTTTATTTGTGTTGTTATTAGAAAGAGAAAATTTGAATGAATGAAAAAGATAAAAAAAGAACCCCCCCCCCCCCCCAACCACAGCAGTTGCAATATAAAGTTTTTATAACTTTGGTGCACCCTCGATAGCAAGCCCTATTGAGTCTAGTCCCTGAAGGGAATTTGATCTGTTTATCCAAGATAAGGTATGTACAAAGCAAACTTAATATGTCAACTCTGACTAGTATTAAGATCTGAATATATTGGATGAATAATTCCTCTCTATACACACAGAGTAAGCAAACATGTGGTTTCATAAAGAAAAGTTCCCAGGCACATCTATAGGACAATACACTCTTGAAGTAAATATTACATGGAGTTATCTTTAGCATCGAAGATCTATAAGTGTATTTCAAGTGAAGTACAAAACTGATACATGGAAAGTAACTGCTTCTGTGGTGAATTATCACATACAAAACTCTGGAGTCTGAACAATTAAAGAGAGAACTGTAATTTTGTATTGGTATAGGCATACACTGTACATGTCTTTATTTTTTAAAAAAACTTTCTTTTTTATATTAATTAGTATAAGTCTTTAATTTGTTGCAACTAAGAGGCTAGACATAATTTGCTTCATTCCTATATTGCTAATAAATATTTCTCTACTTTTCATATCAAAAGAAATCTTGACCCTCTAGTTAAGAGAATAATTATTTGCTTGACTATCCAATATTCCCCATGTTTATTACAATCCACTACACAATCAAGAGGGAAAAATGCAAACAGACCAAAGTGCCAGATGAAAGACAAATAACACAAACACCATAATTCTGTTTTGGGATTAGAATCTATATTTACAGATTATCTACATGAAGCCAAATAATCCTCAATTGAAACATTAAAATACAAGGTTTTCCCTTTATTAAGAGCTTATGTGGGGGTTTAAAAAGCTTTTCAGCTGATATTGGGATGGTTCAATGATTGACAAATAAAACAGATGTGTATATACATATAGCAGCAGGAATTCCATGGTATAACATTCAAGTTGCAGTTAAAGGTACTTTTTAGCCATTAACAAAAAATTATAATATCATGTGTATAGGATGTAAGGATCAAAAGCCATTTTGCAGTATCTTATAAAATGAAAAATTGAAATGCCACTAAGCAACATAAGCTGGGAGATTTGTTTTAAAAGAATGCAATAGACACTAAGCTATACAGGCCTACATGTAAAAAAAAATTGCTCAGCAAAATAGTGTGAGATATGTTTGGTATCTTTTATTCTATTATGTTCATATGCATGTACATGTACCTGTCTGAACAGTTAAGTGTTTTTTTGTCGTTGTTGCTGTTGTCCTTTGTATGTGTTATGTGAACTTGATAATTATATTATCTCTACACTGGTTTCTGTAAATAAATAGAATCTTGAACTTGATCATCTAATGAAATCTTAGTGCACTGCAAAGTTCTTGCTCTTTGTTTCTAATGGTGCATGGAAGGCTGGGGTTATGTTCCAATTTAATTTTAGCTGTTTTCAGTCTCTTTTAACATCCTCCATGGCAACAAAATACACATTAAACAAAATGTTTCAATTTTATCAATTTTCTGTACAGTCTTCGTCTGACATCACCCCACCGACCCCACTATTATGTCTATAGCAGAAATCATTCCATTGACCTCTAGGTGAGGAATATTTTTTAGAGTTTGACCCCATTGACCCCAAGTTCATATCTCACTATCTGTATTTTGTCTACATGTGAATGAACGATCCATTCCGTAGTACACACCAGCTGCTTGTCACACCATGTATTATAGAGCATGGGAACTGTAGTATGCCCCCAAACCCATCTAATCAAGATCTTTCTTGGAGTATACTACCCTCCCCCGTTTATTTTCATCTTGATGAACTCACCTCCTTCATGCGTTCCCATATGATCCTCACAACGGAAGAGCTGGTGCGCACACTCACTTCAACCTGATACGCTGCATTCAAGATCTGAAAGAAATCACATTCATCCTACAGCGTCATATACTTTATCAAGTTGATCATTATAAATTCTATTATTGTGTCAATACAGGTATATAATTTCATCTAAAAAGAGAGATATACCATACTCACAGTTTAAGTCTTTGTTAAAAACGTTTCTGTTCTCAACATATTAGTTTGTTTAATTAATTATGTCTTACATTGTACTACCCTTATATAACTTGATTTACTGTAATATGCTTTGTATTGTATTATTGTATTATTGCAAATTATGTCCTGAAGTATGTTAAACTGTAACTTATGTGTATTTTACTTTCTTTCTTGAATTCTTGCCCACAATTATACAACTTCCACACAACTGCGCCAGGAGTGTCATTTTGACAGACATGGCGCATTATAAATGTTCACTATTATTATTATTATTTAAATAACCTCTTCCTACAGTTGTATATGAGCAGGATGGTTGGTCAAGTGGCTGGTGCTTACACAGTTGATAAAAAGGACAGTATTTATAGTAAACAGCTTAGTTATTTTCTATTTGCTGCTATGCTGTGACTACAGTGTACATGTACGTGGCCATTTGTTTTTAAAAGTAACTTTAAATCTACTAATTTGTTAGTGACATTTCCTCTAGGTTCCTTCCTCCCTTCCCTCAGTTCCCTGCATCCTTCCTGAAAAAATTTTTGATACTTTTTTCCATGAACTGGTTACATTAGAATATGAAAAATATAAAAGCAGTTTAGAACTGGAAGGTTTTAAAAAAAAGAGATTCAGATTGCTTTTTTTGTGGAAAATAGTTCACGATTTTTAGAAATTGAATGCAGTTAAAACACATGGATCCCGAAATGGAGGCCTTGTGCATAGGATCCCTGAGAATAAAAACTTAAAACAGCTTCTAACTGTAAAACAAGGTGAATAGTCTCAAGTTTGTTCCAAAATATGTATGGATAGTTTTCCTCCCATCCATCATGTAGAACATCAGTATTTATCATATTTATCTTCATCATGTGTCAAAGAATTGAAATAAGAAAAAAGATCTGCATAACTACTGGGAGGAAATAATGAAAATCATTAGTCTCTGTTCATCCTACTGATATGCTCGCTGCCAACGGTAAGAACCTTTTCATTTCTGAATTTATAAAAAAGGGAAAAGGGGCTTGTCACTTGTATCATTCAGGTATGGGATACATTTCAGGGAATTGCCTTCATTTGAATTATCTCCAGTCCAAAGCATACCTGTCTGAGTGCCACAGTGGTAGAAGTCTCCAGATCCCCATCTATCTTCTCTAAGCTTGCTAGACATCTCTGAAGGGTTCCTAGAAAACTCTCTCTCAGCAGCTCCACAGATCCTATCAGCTTCTCTACAACGCAGGCATTGAGGCGGGCCAAAACCAGGTCCTGGATCTGTTCCGTACACCTCTTGATGTCCTTCTGGCTCTGGATCTTACCCTCCTGGCTTACTTCCAGATCTGTGGCAGATAGAATGAAATATAATTGATATAATCTGATAAAGTAAAAATAAATGATTAAAAGAAAATATGGCATTATATCAGAATTTAAGTGGTATCATAAATGAGATTGCTTTATACGCACTTAAGTGAATAAACCTGAGGGATACATACAGGGCTACAGGCCTACAAAGTCAAAATAACTACTATAGAATACAACATCATAATCACCCATACTTAATATAAATGAGGTGTTACTGACTCTTGCCCCATGATGAAACTCTCTCCCTCCACTTCTTCTTGTCTCCAGCATTCTCCTCATTGAGACCAACCTTACTGCTCCCTTTCTTCACTATATCTTTCCATGAAATCTTTGGTATTCCTTTCCCTCTTATGCCATCCACTTCCAGATCCGATGTTCTTTTCACAGGTTCATCATCTTTCCTTTTCAAAACATGTCACATACATCTCAATCCACTTCTCTTTACCACTTCCACCAGTTTCTTCCAGAACCAACCTTTCCACACCACAAATCGTCCATAACATGGCTCTTTCTGTTCTCAAGATCGGACACCTTCTTCTACAGTCTTCGCATTACAAGTTACCATCGCTGTTCAATAACACAAGATCTTGCTTAAATTTTCATTCTAAACCTTCTGCCAGCTAGGATCGAGGCGAGGTCATTAAACTTTCTTTGTTACTTAGCCTTTGTAAACAGAGAAGTTATGAAAAGGTCTGCTTCTTTTGTTTATACTTGAGTAAAATGTACACATGTACTAATTTGTAAAATGTAGTAGAAGTATCGTCATTATTATGATCATCATTATTAACAGTTGACATTCAAAATTATGAAGGGTGTTAATTGCATTAAGCAATACAAGTTAACATCCTTCTGGCTCCCTACAAAGGATGCATTATTTAACAACATTAGGGAGGGGGGGGGGCGCTAATCTTTTAAGCATTCTACAGTGTACACTCTAGTACCAAAAGTGCAGAAATGATGTACCTGCATGCATGATAAAGCATGTGCATGCAACTGACTGAATTTTCTGATATCTTTTTATTATGTAGAGCTAGCTCTCATCCTGTCATACAATATTACTATTTCCTCAAGAGCTTAAAAAGTGAATCACAATTCTAAACTCTAAAGCAAATGAAAATAAAGCAGTTCCGTTGTTTACATGTTCAACTCCCACTTCCCTTTACTTTCAGACACACATACATGTATACAGTCTACGTGTACATGTAGTTCTGAAAACAATGACATTACCATATACATGTATGTATGTCGACTACAGCATCAAAATGATGTAGTTCAGAATACATTAAATGCAGTACAGTGTACTTCATGCATGTTCTTTAAATGTAAATATAAATTTTTAAGGTACTGTTCAACTTTTGAAAATACAAGTTCTTCAACAAAATCAAAATAAAATGGAATGGGAAGCAAGAATGACACCTTTGAAAATGATTCCTCTAGTTTTATGACAGCTACATGTATAAATATTTATACCATGGCACACTCGGTAGGGTCAACATAATTTTCATATTGTTATCTGATTCAATCAATCAATGATCAGTCAAAGCTAAACTGATAAAAAACAAAATAGTAATTAATGTACATGTACATGTACATGTATATGTGATGTCTTTGTAAATCAAATTGTATTCTAATTTGACCAGTAACATGTATTTTGCTTGGAGAACGTTTCACAACTGAAATCATTTACTTTTGTTTATACTTCAAAAGTAATCATTATTCAAATGAGTGATTTAGATCAGCATTAGTTTACAAGCCAACCCTACTCCTGTGCTTTCTTTAAAAAGTTGGTTGCCTTTCAGTGTAATGAAATCACCAGGATCATTTTTGTTCGCTCTTTCCAATTTTCTTACCGTCCATACCACAAAGAATGCATGAACATTGAACATCAAACAAATGAATCACTTACGTGCTTCCATTTCTAACTGTCTGACTGATATACTGTAATGTACATGTACATGTACCTGTAATGAGGATTTGGTAAACATCCCTTATTTTCCCAGGACACTTTTAAGAAAGAGGATTGTAAACCAATCTTATCTCCAAGTTAAAACTTATCACAAAACAAACATTTGCAAACTAGTGAAAAAATAACAAAGTCTATCTGATAAAATATGTACACTGCAAGTCATTTAACATTTGAGGTAATATATTCACATAATTTCACAATAGTAAATGTATGAGTAGTACTGTATCATATGATTATCAGAGGCATTTTTAATTTTGACAAATTTGTTTGGGAGGTTATAAAGTATTGTTCTTATAGCATTGTTTACTTAATGTTAAACAATGACTGTGTGGGAGTGAGGGACATATTTATGTGTTTAGATTTTATGGATGTGTACTATTTTGATATGTTAATTTACGACTAAGGAGTGGAACATGCCAAAAAATATTGAGAGGACATTTTGCATGCAGACCAAATAACAAACCCAAGATTAATTCCTTTAAAGGCATCATTTAACAATGTTAAATCTGAGATGCATGGCCCTACGTGTTATCGGTGTCTGTGATATGGTGTAATATTGAAGCCCTAAAAAAATTGTGTTTCAAAATGATCATTAAGTGCCTCAAAAAAGTAAAAATCTTTGAGTGACCGGTTTTACCATACTCATTTCCCCCAATAGACTGTAGCCTGTAGTCTATTAAAAACCGTTGGGAAAACGAAAAATGAAATGTTGATTTCCAATCATAAATATCTTGATAACCAGACTGGTGAGCGGCTTGTAAAAGTCATGGTATTCCTGACTGACCTAAAGATTTATAATTATGATTGCAGCATGAGCTAAATCCAGGATTTTGTTTCAGAATCTGAGGCAATGTTACAGAGTCACTTTAAACCACTCCAACTCCCCACTTCCATCTTTTCCCAATGGGGACAATGGTCACTTCCTGCAAAGCATGTTGTAAAGTTATACTGCTTTGTTGCTCAGGGTTGCCATGGTCATGACAGTTCAGGATCCCACAACACCAGCATCACGAAATCCCACACCTCTTGGAACACCTTGTACAGGTATCCTCGCTGCTCCCATACACATGTAAGTGTCATACTAGACTAGTGAGTGATTAATGATGATTGATTGTAATGACCAAAGTTCAACAAACTTTAGGACAACCCCTCACCAGAATAGTGTCTGACCATGGTCTGATAGGAGTACATGTAGATCCATGGTCTGACACATGTTTGGACACCTAAACACATGTACAGACATTGAACATCATGTAGGCTTTCTATAACCCGATTGACCCTGCATTTAGAGAAGGGTCAAGATCGGTTGCCATTATCCAAAGTCCATAAAATATTGACATCCTCGGGGGAGACAGCTGTCAATAGTCGATAGTACTTGGCTGCTCATCAACATACTTTGGCCTGTATTATGTAATGCAAAATCATTCCACCAAGTATCAGCCAGGCTGAAATAGGAATAGGATGCAATATTTCTCCCACATTATAGACTGTGATCTTCATAAATCTGTGTATCATTGAAAGTAATAAATGAGAACTTTAAGTTTAAAATGTGTCTTATTTTCCTGAAATCCTCTTTTACCTTTATTTCTCAAATATTTTCTGCTTTAATTGAAAGTAAGTAAGATAGTGGATTGGATTGGGAGGGGGGGGGGGAGGTATGGCACTTTTTAAGTTCCCATACCCCCACCTTCATCACTTTCAACGTAGATGAGTTTTACCCCCTTGTGCACTCTTTCTCTGTGACAGGAAAAACACTATCTCTCAATTTCCCCTTCCTTCCAGCTGCAACTTAACAGACTTTGAGACATTTCTGTGTTACAGAGCTGCAGAGTGAACTTTGCCCGACCTGTACCAATGAATCATTCATTTACATAAATCTAGAAAATGCTGGATTTGGGACTTTGTACACAATGACCATTGTTTATCCACTTTTTGTTTGATTGTCTGAGGTACAGGTGTGCGAATTATCACTAGAATGAACAATGAGTCAAGATTATTTCTGAACATAAACTAAATGGACATGTGGATCTAAAACAACTGCTTTTAATTCTAGGGTTTTTTCCAACACAGAAGATGTGTGCAAAAGTAAAGGCCTATAATCTATATACTGTAGAAGGTACATGTACATGTATCAGTATACATTGGAGCCTATGGTGAAGCCTATCAGTACAAAACTGTAGGTCACTTGAAAACTTGATGACCATCTTGGCATCACCCCCTTGTCTTGTTAGGGGGTAGACAATGCTTGACACTGTTATCCAAATGCATATTCCCTAATCCCTGTTACAGAAAGAAAAAAAATCAAAAGTTTCAAAGTCAAATGACATTCTTAAGTACATATTCTTGCATCAGCCATTGGGCATTAAGATACAGTATATGGGACAACATTACAGAGAAATAAATTTGTAGGTAAATTAACTTTTAATGTAATCAATTAAAAAATTGGTCAGAACTAAAACTTTCCACAAATGAACTAGCCCATAATAGCCACAGACTCATACCAAAAGATAGCCATATAAATAATTTCATCTGTTGTTATTTCTTGTTTAAAGTCTCTGAATGTCCCGAACGTCACAATCCAAATAGCTTGGACCTGCCCAAAGACAGACAATGAGGCTTTATTTTATTACAGTTAACACACAGTTGCAGATATTCATGTTTGAGTATTTGGGGGGGGGGGGGGGGGAGGGGTGACAGTGTACACATACATGTATGATGTAGCAAGATCCAATATGCGCTTGCATTTATTAGTACCTGACTATTATTATTCTCTTTTGTACATGTACATGTACCTGTATGCGACAAATATATGTACGTAAGTTGGCTTACAGGAAGTTCGATGTATCTTACTGCAGAGTGCAGAGACATACAGTGTATGCATCTAGCAGGCCTCACACAAATACATGTACAACGTACACATCTAAATAGGTTTCAAGAAATTGTACAGCTGTCAAAAGTCAACTAAATCTTGAGCTCATCTTTTTGACTGAGTCATTCATGTCACTGGAATTCAAGGACTTAAGTCCTGCAAAATAATATCTTAGGATCAGAATCATGCACTAACCCAAGGTTCAGACTAGCAGAATTCATCGTCTATGTGATAAGGGCAGGGTTTATCGTGAGCATGAAATGATGATTGACCGGCTGTAATGTAAACTAGTTTCTTCGTACAAATTTGATTGCCAGTCTGTATGCCCCTTTCCTATACAATGATTCTTTATAATACAACCTTTCTTTATACAAGGTTTTGTATAAATTTCCTTGAACATGTACATATCTTCAACAAGTTAAAGCCTTAAATATTAAGTTGAGTTCTGGTCATGCGATTGCATTGTGAAAGAAACGGTGTGAAACCGACCAGAAAAGGTTGATCATCTAGCATATAAGAATTTGTGTGTATTGCAAGGTTCTGGAATCTTCAAAATGATAAGAAATTTGGCCAAGTCTTGGTAAAGTTGGTAAAGAAAGATATATGGGACTACACGAACACGTGGCGTAAAAAGCCGCCCCCCCCCCCCCCCCCGATTTTTACGATGTTACATGCATATTTAGAATGTGAAGGCATTTAAAGAGCCATGCTTTTCAGGGAACATGTCTTAACTGATGTTCTTCCACACTTGCATAATAAGAATGAGTAATGCTCACAATTATTTTTCACCTCTTCCCAGAACTCAACCTTCTCTTTAATAAGGGCTATTCCTTCTACATGTATCTCTACACATGAGCGGATCCAGGAGAGAAGGGTATACACTGTACATGTACTAGGGGCATATCCCTGGCAAAACCAAATATAGCATAAATGTTAATGCTTGTCCACTCCTAAAATAATAAGTCACTTTCAATAGAAGCAGAAAAATCAGACAAACCAATCAAAAGTTTGAGCAAAATCGGATAACTTATAATCTAAATCATATTTGCATATTGGTACATTGTAACTACAGTATCTACATCCTGGCCCCCCCCCCCCCCCCACTCAGTGTTATTTAGGGTACGCATATGTGTGTTCCAACCGACCCCCCCTTTTCAGCAAAAGTCCAGTGTGTAAAGTCAATACGGCTCAACCTTTTTCTTTTGTATACGAGCCTTTTTCAGCACCCCCCCTTTTCAGCAAAAGTCCGGTGTGTAAAGTCAATACAGGTCGACCTTTTTCTTTTGTTACGAAAAGGACATTTTGGCAACACCATGGGGTCCGTCCGTTCTCGGAGTGGGGGCGCCTGATCTACATACATATTTTGGTACATTACCACATCATACATGTTGTACCTCATGACAAAGTCAAGAAGACAATGAAATTACTTGATAAAAAAAAAAACTGTACCTTTAAAGACCATCAATACTACTCGGCCAGAAGGGATTAGACCACACAGCGAGGTCACTGACAGATGGCTATCTCATTAACTCAACTCTCAACTAACATATGAAAAAGATGATCATTGGGGACCAACAGGCACTGATTGGGGAAGTTTTCTATATAGAGGGAGCAAGTAGCTACACGTAGGACAGTGGGGCTTTAAATCAAGATACAGTGTATACCGGGTAGGCTTGTAAACATGCAACTTGTGTCCCGTGGCAACACAGTCACAAAGTCACAAACTCAAATCGCTTACATGTATCTGAACAAATTAACACCCAACAAACAAAATAAAACTAAAAATTTTTTTTTTTTTTTTTTAAAGTTTAAAAATACACTTAATCACTTGTGTTATTTTTCCAGATTGGAATAATGTTCTACATGATGAATGCAAATGTACTTCATCAAAATCAATCGGCACTTGAATCGTGAATGACATTGACCATACTTGTTATGAACTTGAAGCTTGCAAGTTGCAAAATCCCTGACATGAAGGAACCATGTGGTCAACAAGTTCACCTTGACCAAGGCCATGTCTACTTCATGTTTGTTTACTTGGTCAGACAGCCCTACCATGGCTGACCATGTACACAATGCAAGCATCAATTCAATGCACTTCCAAACAATGGAGAGCAATTGTCTACAAAATAGGTTTCCCTAATCTTATTGACTGGTTTAGGACAAGTAGCAAATACATCACATGTACATCCTCCATCTATCATTGAAAGGGGAGGGGGGGGGGGGGGGAAGGGGAGACTACAGGTAGTCATCAATCAATATTGATGATGAAAGGGCTTCCAAGAATCTTGTTGTAGGTCAAGAAAGATGAAAATGACCTTCATGAAGTCATGGCCTTACTCGCAGACCACATTCTTAGTGCATCTACATGTACAACTCACCTTCAACAAGTTAAGTATAAAGAGTACACAGTAACATGTGCATGCTACAAACGTGTTGTATGCCCAACTTATATCACACTTACAAAAAAATATGGGTATGTACAATGTACATGTACCTACAGTACATGGAAACCTTCTTTTTTTGAGGGGGGGGGGGGTGGAAGATGTTACATGTAGTATCATCAATGCAACGTCTTTGGACAAATCACTGTGAACTGACTGAACTCTAAATTAAAATAGGAAAATTATAAGAGAACTGTTTAATAGATATAGGGGAAGCATTATCCATTAGTATTTACTATTTACCACATATTACAAGAAGTAGAAGAGATTTTAAAAAAGGATTGATTCCAGAAAAAACTACCTCACACTTTCTTAAAGTTGAAAAGAGAAGCAATATGTGCTATGATAGCACTTCATAAAACCCAATGGAAATCTTTTTAAAAGGGTAAAATAATCTTCTTTTCATTTATCTGGTAGCTACAAATGTACATGCATATTGTATGTCTCAAATTGATACAAACCTGTAAATCTGTAATTTCCAGCTTGTTCAAGCAAGTCTTCTGTCATGTCTGCAACTGTACTCTGAATCAAGCTCCGAAGCTGCTCCTGCTTTTGGTTAGTCAAGTCTTTCAAGGAATCAAAGAGTTCATTCTCCCTTTGTCTTGCATATTCAATTCGCTTTGGTGTCACAAGAATGTCCCTCTGCATGTCAAATGCTGTCGTAATGAACAGATTCATGCAGTGTTGGTGGAGATCGTGCATGGCAGTGCAGCATCTGATCAAGTAATATTGCAAGGAGCGACGAATGAATTGCACAATAGCTGCAGAGTTATGGAGGTCCTCTACCTGGTTGACAATGGTGAATACATCAAGGACACCACGCATTCTACCATTCTCCTCAGGAGAGCTGATGAAGCCTGCCCTGCTTAGCTGGTCTATAACACTTGGCCTGTCGTTCGGTGTAGGTCTGCACCTACGACGTAACCTTGCATCCAATCCATTGTGCCTTTCCCGCTCTCCCTCTATCCTCTCATCGGTGTCATATGCTGAATCATCATCAAAGTCTTCATGAGCATCCTCAACAAGACGCCTTTCCCTGTGGGCCACTAATGGTTCGCTCGGCTCCCTGCAGTCCACAAATAATATGGGAAGGGTTCCTGCACAATTCTGTAACTCCTGCAAATCACGAAGGTTCTCCTCGGATAACTGATCTTTGTCGAAACAGTACAAGAGCACGGGGAGTACATTATGAGTGCACACATTGTAAGCCTGTGATATTGATATTCCAGGACAGTTGTGTGGAGTGACAAGAATTTGAAGTTTGCATTGAAGAAGTGGATGATTCAGTGTTGCCTCTGTGGTTGCGCTTAGCATGCATGCATCTTTTTGATGTTCCTCTTTCACCAACATCTCCACTCGGGGAATCCCCGTCCAAGAGTTCCTCATCACCGGAGACCCTGGCTCTTCATTGAGCAGCTCGAAGCTGTTGGTAAGGGTCAACCTTGTATTCCGCTGGGAGCCATATTTCAGGTGTACAGCTCGCCATGTCTTGTTGTTATCAGAGTCGTCCACAATCTGAAAGAGGTCTTCCCTGAATATCTTGTTGACTAGGGTTGCTTTACTTGTGTAAGTCTGGCCAAAGATGACAAGAGCTGGTGGATTCTTTGTCACCTTTCCAACAATTTCATCTGCAACTGGTGGCAACACAAGGGTTGAGATTACTTCTGGAAAGATAATAAAGATGAAAAATGACTCATGAAGTTAAGATCCTTTTTAATGTAAAAAGAACCGAAGTGTGCCTAATAAATATGTTACTTAATTATTCTTAAATTTTGAACAAACTTAATTTTCAATTTACATCTAGAGCTACATACACATGTATGGTAGTGTAGATCAACATGATTGAAAGGCTGTTCACAAGGTACATAGGTTATGAAACAACTCGTCCTCAAACACATGCAATGAGAAGAATATACTTAGAATACACTGTACAAATACAATGCGCCAAACTATTGAGGTCACTAGTAACGACAATATCACTGAGGATATTTCCAAAAAATTAGTTACTTTTATTAATTTTGTGGTCATATTTTTAGTAGTAGGAAATCAGGGTGAAATTCATGTCACATCATATGGCAGCAAAAATCGAGATTTACCACATACATGTAGTATGCAAAGCTTCAACTTTAAAGAGAAGGTTGAGTTCTGGGGAGAGGTTAACAATAATTGTGAGCGTTACCATTATTATTATGCAAGTGTGAACATTCATCAGAAGAACATCCATCATACCAACGCGAATCAGTAAAGAGGGGCACATATAAGCTGAAGCTTCAAGCCTCGACACCAAAGTAAACCAAAGTAAGTAATAGAGAAAAAATGTTCCCTGAAAAGCAGGGCTCTTCATAATACCTTCATATTCTAAATATATTACAAGTAAAAGTTTTAAAATGAGGCCTGATTTTTATGCCACATGTTTGTGTAGTCCCTGTGTACAGGGCTCGTTACAACATGTACTTTACCAAGACTGTGCCAAAATTCTTATCACTTTGATGACTCCAGAACCTTGCACTCCAATACTGATGATCAACCTTTTCTGATCGATTCCACATCGTTTCTTTCACATTGCAATCTCATGACCAGAACTCAACTATATCTTTAAATATACCCTTTGTATTTGTTGAACAAAATATTTAACAAGATCATCAATATAACTGAAGACACATGATGCATACAAATGTGTTCATGATACGATCTATCCACACTTGCATTGAAGACTATACGCACCTATGGCCATGAAGCTCTCTGGCCATGAAGCCCTCTGGCCGAGTATATACATTATGTGCATAAACAACATCAACAAGAGCGAATGGATCTAGTAATAGTATCTAGTAATTTTACAGGTGTTCTGCAAAGTTGCAGTTCAACATATCAAATAAACACTGAATAAACTTGGTAATTAATGTCATTTCTAAATATTGACCTAGTCCTAGCTAGAGTCTAGACTAGATCTATAGACTATAGTATGTATAATGTAGCTGAAAAACTGAGTGAAATTGTAAATAAATCAATTGACTGAAAAATGCATAATCTGAAATAAATCCCATCATAAAACGTCAACACATAATCATGAAAAATCGCCACACAATAGTTTCATTGCACACACAACTAGGCAGTCAGGCATGCGTACTGACTACTGGCCTGGCAAAGCACAGTCAGTGTCATTGATAATTGATTGACCTCAGAGTAGTCTAGACTCTAATTCAAAAAACAAAAATCATACATTACCCTCTTCAAAATGATCTGAAGTTTTCAGTTCTGTCAGACAGTTATTAGAGTCGAATATAATCTTCTTCAAATGCTTGGTCAGCCCTCCAAAATGTTTGACTTCATGGGCCAGATCTCGACCCCGAGCCCGCGAGCTCCCTAGCCGCCTGGAAGACATTTTGTTTACATCTGGCTCTATTGCAAAAGTGAATGAGCGATCAGATTTCCTGCAGAATTGAATACAAGTCACGTCAACGCAACGGAGCAGCTGATTCGGCGTTGCTGTCCTCTATCGTCACAGTCATGTGATTTCATGCAGAGAGTTCATCGGGCCATCCTTAGTTAGTTGGTAACATACCTAGTTTAATAGTTAGGTGGGCCTTTTCCTTCTCATTTTACACATGAGCGGATCCAGGGAGAGAAAGGTATAGGAAACACCCCTGGCAAAACCAAAAATAATAGAAATTTGCCCCCTAAATAATTGTGCTTTGTAATTATGCCACCAAAATAATACTAGCAGCAGTTTTAGACCACAAGAAGATATTTGGATAATAATGATAACCTTTTTTTTTGGGGGGGGGGGGGTGGTGGGATGCAGAGGCAGCGGAGCGTTTTCCAAAGTACGGGGCACCAAAAAAAAGGACCATTTCTGGAGAGAAAAAAAGGCCACCTTCAAAGGGAAATCTGAAAGCGAAAATATACAAGTTTTTAGATATTGGTATATACCCTATTATTATGATTACACTATCAGGGGGGTGTTTCACAAAGATCCTAAGTCAAACTTAACTCTAAGTTGGACTTAAATATTATGAAGAGCCATTTTAACCTTAAAATAGAATACATTCAAAAGCCAAAATGTGAGTATTTTAGACTTTTCATAAATCCCACATCAAGAACATGAAATCTGACATAGTAATAGAAAATATGAATAATTTGAATCAAAATTGTATGCCTTTTAAAATATCTTTTACAAAATATTTTCAAGGATGCTAACGGCTTTCCATAACTTTTAAGTCAAACTTAGAGATAAGTTCAACTAAGGATATTTTCTTCTCTTTATACATCATCAGATATGCATTATGCTTTGCAGTTTGATGTGATGGTCTGAAAATTCAGTTGCGAGCGAGCAAAATTTTTAAGATTTGTTAGGTCGCAGTGCGAAAAATTACATATTATAAAGAGGAAAAACCGAATGCTGATGGGTTATAAGCACAATCATTATCAAAACGGAAGACTGAAAAGACCTTTGATAAGTAACACTACATGCGAGCGAGCATAGCGAGCGAGCTTTGGGGGAAATTTCTCTTAGTCGCTTGAAATTAGAGGCACGTTTAATGATGAGAGGAAAAGGGGACACTTATCGAAAGGGATAAGACAAGTAAAGGATCAAAGTACAAAGGCTAATTATCAGTGGTGAAAATGGGGCACTTCTTACATCTAAAAAAAGAGGCACTCACCAGGGATGAAAAAGACACTTATGGCAATGGGAAATGGGCATTTGTCGGTGGAAGAGAGGCACCCATCAGATTTTGATAGGGGCATTTATGACAATTGGATAGGTTCCTTATTAGAAAGGAAAAGGGGCACGTATCATTGTTAAAAGGGAAATTATCAGAGGTGAAAAGTGGCACTTCTCGCATCTGAGAAGGGGCACTGACCATGAAATATAAACGGGCCACTAATAATAAAGGGAAATTTGCATTTGTGGAAAGAAAAGGGGCACCGATCAGATTTTAATAGGGGCATTTATTGGAGGTGAAAGGGGGCTTTTATGAGAAGGAGGAAGTGGCTCTTATTAAACAGAAAAGAGGCACATGTTAAAATAAACAAAGCACTTATCAGAGATGAAAAGTGGTAATTATGAAAAGGGGAAGGGGCACTTATAAGAAGGAAAAAGAGCATTTATTAGGAAGGAAAAGGAGGACGTGTCAAAGTAAAAGGGGCATTTATTAGAAATGAAAAGAGCACTTATCAGGAGAGAAAGGGGCACTTGTCAAAGTAAAACGAATATCTCTCAGAATTGAATAGGGACATTTACAAAAGATGAAAAGGGCCATTTATGAGAAGTGGAAGGGGATTTTTTTTTAATGGGGGCACTTATCAGAAGGAAAAGGGGCACTTATTAGAAAGGAAAGGGGGCGTATGGGAAAATATAAGGTGCGCTTATCCAAAATTATCGGAGGTGAAGAGGGCACTTATAAAAAATAATAAGGGGCGCTTCTCGTACCTGAAAAGGGGCATTTGTTAGAGATTAAAAAGGACACTTATTACAAAGGAACATGGGAACTTTTCGAAGGAAAATGGGTACGTGTCAAAGTAAAAGGGGCACTTATCAGAGGTGGAAAGGGGAAGAGGCACTTGTCTTAATAAAAGAGGCACCTTTTCTATGTAAAAATGGGCACTTCTTACAACGTTATAGGGGCATTTCTCCTATGTAAAAAGGGGCAACTTTGGGGAACTTGAAAAAATGGGGGGGGGGGGGCAGCGCAGCCTCTGGTAACCTTTTTTTTTGGGGGGGGGGGTGGGATGCAGAAAACATCGGAGTGAAAGTAATAAAATGCGATATGGTATCAATCCTCATCATCCTAGCTAGTCCACGAAATTCGTAAAAGTAAATTCACCAAGGAAAATATTATATAGATGTATATAGAAAACTATGTGTAATTGTATTAAATACATTTTAGACCTATACAGAGCGATTTTTACGGCTAAAAGAACGAACAAAATATTCCCGAGTCATGACAAGAAATTGCTGTCATCCCGTTAGTAAAAATCAATATATTCACTCTCTTAGCAGTAGTGTATCCAAAATGAATGTATATACATGAGAATAAATATCGTTTGTGCCAATCATGTGGGCTTCGTGAACATTTAAAATATTTACATTTTTTAATGCGATTTATTGCAATTTGATGGATCTGCTGCTTAAAAGAAAAGCCCTCGATTTAAAC